AACCCCTTAATCTGGACAAAATGACTTAATATGTTATGTTAAAAGCTAAAAAACCCTGGCTTAATGTATCCCTTAATCTTCTTATATGTTAATAATTATATTCAATATTATCAAATTTAAAATTACCAGTCGTGAGATGCCAAGTGTCTGAATCGCGGCGCTTGAAGCTGGGCCCGCATTCCGCATCGCTTCAGAGGATTTTGTCCGTACCCCATCACCTCCATCTACATGTAAGTAATAAGTATTATAAATACAATTTTAAAAACAAAAATAGTAAAAAGATACATACGGGATGCATGATGATGATGTGACACAGGAGCATGGCCAGAAGTTTTCGGCTCATCAAAACTGCAAATAATAACCCAAAATAGTTACCTTTTGCAATCATATTTAATACATTAAATATTTATAAAATCAAAAGAAAACATTAAATGAAGATATTTATGCACCTCATTGAGTGCGAATTGGCTTTCAATGTAGACTTGCTTTCTGATGCTAAATGCCAACAAAGTGTATTTGCAGGCGGGGTGCCTACTTCAAATGCAACATGCAGATTTATTAAACATGCAAACATTATATATATATATATATATATATATATATATATATATATATATGTTACTGTTACCTGAAGAAAACTGTCGAGGCCTTGAATGAAAATGACTCTGGTTTCCATCAGTTTTAGTCTGAGGGCTAAAATGGACTTTTTTGCTGACAGATTCTAGGTTGAAAGGATGTGTAAAATGTTAAAGTTCCATGATGAAATACAATTGAGCAATAATAACCAAAAACCAAATGTACTAAAGCTCATTTACCGATTTAACAATGTACTATAACTGTATACAAATTGTACCAAAATTATCAAATATCTTGAGATAAATATTGTTATTTTTTAAACTTTGAGATAAATGTTGTTGATTGTCAAATTATCAAATGATTAATACTATGTTTGTCTTTCTGGTGTAATAATATATAGCAACATACTTTCACTATAATTCTATGTGGTCATTGAAAACATTACTAATTTAAATGATTTTTATAATGGTTAAGTGAAAGAAATAGCAATGCACTTCCCTTGATTTGTTTATCATAGCATCTTACTTTCATTTCTTCCTATTAAAACATTCTACTTTGACAAATCTACCCAATTATAACAATATCATCCAAATACAAAGCTATAATTGGGTAAATTTTTCAAAATATAATATTCTACTAAGAAAAAAAAAATCAAAATACAATGCTATAATTGGGTACATTTTTCAAAGTATAGCACCGTAATAGAAAGATATGAAAGTAGGATGATATATATAATACACAGACAAATGAAAGTGCATTGCCATTAATTGTTATTGCCCTCTTGGTAGTTAACCTTTTTCCAAAACCAGCAAATAGTTAAGCTCTATATTTTTTTCAGTCATCTAACACTTTCGTTCTGTGGGTCCCATTAACTTGAAAGGAAACTGCATAAACAAAAGAGCACAAATATTCTTACTAGGCAAACTGTAATGCTTGTGATGACGTGGCACAACAGCTAGCAACTGTTGCTGTCTGAGAGCTTCTTTATCCGTATACATTTGGCATGTAAGAAGTTGCTTAAAATAAAATAAAAAAATCAATCGTCAATAGCTCTGGTATAAAAGATCTATATTATTATAGCGCATCTTACCTGATGTAAACATGAAACATGTAATCCAGTTGTTGAAATTTCTAAACTTTGTTGGTCTAAAAGATCGGTCAATTTGTAAGCAACAGTGCCAAGATGGTCAACAGCATTGACAAGTGCCCGTACTGCATAATCTTTTAAGTTATCAAGAACCCTACAACAAAACGAATATAAAAATTACATTTTTTTTTAAAATTGATTTGTTTGATTATTACGAGATGTTCAGCTTTGAAATGATTCTCACACTTGTTTCTGTTCGCTATGAAGATAAGACTTTTCACAATAATCAGCTGCTGAATAAAGTTGAGGCCTTAGATTTTTTAGTTCCTAAAACAAACATTAAACAAGGATTAAAACCGATTAACAACGCAATAATTACCTATTATTTAATTAATATCTAAAACACACATTATGCCACTAAGGCTGAAACACTTGCTGAATTTTTTTTTTTTTAATGTAAACACGTGATAATGAAGATATGTCAAAGCATCTACATTGATTATGTAATCAGAAAGGCTAACTGAAAGAAACATTCATTTATAGGAAGAAATGAAGGTAGGATGCTATAATAAACACATCAATGAAAGTACATTGCTATTTGCATTTAGGTTTAATTAGAATTCATCAATCCAAAATTACCAAATATCACTTTTTCCTCTGTCCCGTGAAAATTGCAATGTTTGAGTTTGGCCAGACACATGTGAATGTGATCCATCCTTAAGCTAATAATACGAATTCTCTCTAACATGACAACCCATGTTACTTGATGGACCCTAAGCTTTTATGAATTAAGTAATTCGATAATGACAACTCACACTTAATGATCACATGTCTAAAAGATGTGCATTTTAAGGGAGTTGTGATTGTTTGGCAAAAAGTTATAATGATTCTAATTTTCTGATTCTGTAGGGTGAAAAATAATGAGTTTTGAAGGTGTGTAAAAAAACTGATTATCATGATAAATGAAGAATCACATTGAACAAGCGCATCCAAACACCCAAAACCATTTCTCTCTCATTTCTATTGTAATATATATCATCATTTATATTAATAAGTCAACCCTACTATTTCTAAAATGAAGAATTGGTACAGGTTTTCAAGGCAATTAATGCCAACTTTATTCAATTTGTAGTTCTTGTCATAAAGTTAGATGGCAATTTTCTAGAAAAGTTTAGCATAGACATACCCAATTTGATTCCCAAAGTCAAAGTGTACCTCCTACGACATGCAACGTATTCACATAAAGAGAGATCAAACAGAGAAAGCATCACAGAAAAAGTCAAACATATCGCACAGATTTTCATCATTAACATCTATAATTATATACCAAAAACTCAGATCTGACGTGAAGTACAAAAAAAAAGGGAAAATTTAAACTAAATAGAAAATTAAAACCTGAAGGGCTGTTACGAAGCTAATGCTCTGTTCCATGGAAGGCTCGTGGAAGGCCATTGATTGATTTGATTGTTCCACTTCCATAACTCTCTGTCTCTAGCTGAATCAAGAACTTAAAACAACAAATTTGGGGGAAATTTCAAGAAGAAGTGATCATTTGAATCTCAGCAAAAGAACCCTAGCTTTGATCGTACAATGCAAATTTGAGAAATGAGTTAGTGAAACTTTGGAATAACTTTTCGGTTAGCCGGGTTGGGAAGCATCAAATGCTTGTTGTCGGGATTAGATTTGGAAGTAATAGAAAAGAATATATTATAGGGGAAAGAGGTGAGTGAGAAAGAGAAAGGGTGTTTTGTTGAGCAGAAGCAAAGCCACTGGAAGAGTCGGTTGGAAGTGAAAATGACAATTGGACTGTAAAACCCGCTAAAATAAAAATATGGAGCAGACAGAGACCCCAAATCATATTTTACCTTTTCGCCAAATCATTTTCCCATTATTCCCTTTTTTTTAATAAAATTATAAGACTATAATTAAAAATATATAAAATTAATAAAAGAAATATCTTAATAAATACAAAACTAATAAAAAAATTCATACTTCACAATACAAATTACATAATTAATATATATATATATATATATATATATATAACAATAATTAAAATACTCATCACGCCGAATCGTCATTCGACTCATCGTCCAAATCCTTGTCAAAATGCATATCTGAATATTCATTTGTATCCACGTATAAATCCTTGTCGACAGGATGTACGTTAGCTCTGTAAATATGTTTCATCAAATCAACGTGAGTTGTGTGATACGTATCATGATCATATACTTCCTTTTTGTTTGTCATCTATTGTGGCATACCAATATCTACTCAGGCACAACTTTATATTCATCGTAATGACATATCGTTTTTCTTTCATCTTATAAAATCATATTATATAATATAATGCATTTATACATTATGCTTTGCAATCTTCTAGGATCATATGATTATGTTGGGAGTTTGAGTATCCGCAAACGTCTCTCAAAAGTACTAAATGTTGGTTCCACATCCTTCTTAGTTGCTTTTTGGTTTGTCTTAAACTTTAATCGTTTATCGTCGTTTGTACATATCAACAGTTTGATAGATATAGACAACTCAAAATATATCTCATCAGTAAGATAGTACTCACGCTTGTAGGATACTCCATTCGCTTAAAATGGCACATTATGTGCCTTTCCAAGATATATGTTGTTGAATAACCACGATTGGTCAAGTACATTAATGTCGTTGTTGGAACTCGCAACACTAAAGAATGCATGTCATATTCAAAGATTGTAGAACTTGATTGTTTCTAGAATTATTATCAGTTCTTTATGATCATCTCGCATGTATTGAACGCGGCATGCATCAGGACATATTGCACACGTCCAATGCATAAATTCAATGCTACCAGCATTACAAGGAACCCATAACTATATTTACTTTAGATGTTACAACTGGTTGCAAACAATTTCTTTGGTATCAAAACTATATTTACTTTAGATGTTACAACTCGCCCCGATAACCAAACTCCTTTTATCCATTTATTTTATCGGACACTAGAATTTTGGATCAGATTGCATCTTGGATTCAAATGCTGTCTGATGAGTAAAAGGATACAAGAATTTTTATGATTCAAGGACACAAATACCCAGAGCCCAACCCAATCTAGTAGCATAGTACCACTACGACCCAAAATGTGATAATTATAAATGAGCATGATGAGTCCATAATATAATGGTAGATTATTATAATCAAAACGCAAAATCTATAAATAAACATGAATCCATACATAATCAGTATGATAAAATACAAAAACCGCAGAAATACGCTCAAAACCCCTCATACACAACGACCAATACTCGAGACAAATACTACTGCGATAGACAGACAATACGAGTGAGAGACAATCTCAACCATGAGTATTAAAAGCTTCCCAAACTAAATTCTGTGGGGCCCCGTTGGCCAGGTCACGAGCCTGTAAAGCCGCAGTCCTAAGCGTCTTAAGAGTCGTCACATTCGCATCATAGAAGGACAAACTCGTATACGGCAAATTATGTTTCTTGCAAAGCTCCCTAACAATCGGAGATATGGACCTCAAATGACACCTCGGCAACCTCGGAAACAAATGATGCTCTAACTGAAACTGCAACCCACCGAAAAACCAATCCATGTAAGACGAACACGAGATATCAATCGTCCCACTCGTTTGCTTCTCAAACCAATTGTTCCCTTTCGGTGGGCCCACGTACACATCAGCCGCGAAATGGTTCAACGTGAACTGAACATGTTGGATTCCGGTCACACAAAAGCTAACCAAAACAAACGCCACACGTTCCGGCCAATTCGGGAGACACGAAACAAGAACCGGAAACCAAGTCCAAAAAACCAGAGTCCCCCATAATGTTGTAAGCTCGGTCCGGGATTCTTCGTTTTGAGCATAATAATAATATTGTTTGTAGGTAAAGGTTGACACGTGCCACGCACATGATCGGGTAATACGTGTAATGTTGGTAGGAGATGAAAAAGCGTGCCAGGTTATCGAAGGTTAATTTACGGCCGTAAAAAACGGAAGTGATGGATTGGAACAGTTTCGATGAGACCGCGAGCATTGGGAGATGTTGGAGGTCGGGATCGTAATCGAGGGGAATTACACGCGATGTGGTGCGCATTGTGTGTCCATTTCCACCACGCGATGCTGATTCCGGTGATGCAATTCCCGATGAAGATTCCGGCAAACTTATTCCATCCACGGGTCGACATCATTTGGTAATGACCGGCATCGTGGCCTAGATACGCAATTTGCATCCAAGCTAATCCCAATAATGCCCCCGAAAGCATATGAATAGCGACACTAGTGGAATATAGAACACCGTATACGCAAGCAGAAAGGAGTAAGGATACGAAGCAGAGCGAGTAGATGACACCGTGTCCTTTTTTGTCGAACATTCCGGCTTTTGAAAACTCGGAGGCGAGTTTTCGGTAGTCTTTTGAGATATCAGAAACTTGGTAGTCTTTTAGGTGGTAACCCGTGAAGAGGTTTTGGAGGTGTTGCCAGGCGGTCCCCGGGTGGAAAGCGATGAACGCGTCCGTCACGTCCTGACCCGCGAGATTCAAGAGGGGGATATCGCCGCCCGGATGTATTTTGGACCATTCGGTCACGTTATAAACCTTGCCCTGAATTGAGATCCAAAGGTCGCTAGGTTTGTTGTGCTTTCGTAACTCTTCCGATGTTATGTATTTCTTGCCATCGGTCGTTGAATCCAAAACTGCATAGCATACAAAAGCTTACGTGTCAGATACTTAATAACTTGCAACAACCTACTTTGCCTTTTTTACCATATATTCATACAATATTCTTTTAACTTTTACCCATTATAGCAACTTTCTACCAAAAACAACATTCAACATGAAGAACCCGGTTTGTTTGTTTTTTTTTGGAGTAAATTACATGAATGGTACCTAACTTTTTTTTTTTTTTAACTCGGACAGTCCCTATTATATGTTTTTATTGCATGTTTGGTCCTTGGTAGAAAAATCGTAAGCACGATTACTATTATGGGTAAAAATTAAAATATATCGTTGATACTGGTAAAACACAACTTGGTCTGGAAATGTGAATGACAGCACACATTTATTATTTTACATGATTTATTAACAATAAAGCTTAAAGAGGCCTTAAACATGTCTAAAGTCCAGAATTAGGGGTCCCACTTTTGACTTAATTAAAGGCATAACTAAATTATTAGTTATTGCACCGAAAAATGGACATAGGTATTATACTTGAAAAAGACAGGTAATAGTATGGGCAATTTGAAAATTTAATGATAGGGCTAAATGACATTTAATTAGATAGTTTAGTTTAGCAGGCCCACGGTGATAATCAGAATTATAAAATATTGGAATGTAGTGTAACAACAAGGACCCACAAGAGTTAAAGAGACTTTTTTATGCACTGTTAACGGACGTTTGCCTAAAGTAGAGTTTATCTCTTGGGTTGTCAATTCTCCAAAAGTAGAAACATGAAAAGTTAAAAACCCAAGAAAATAGAGAGATATTCTAACAAATCTTATTAGATTATATTCAGTTCACAGCTTATCTAGTTTTTCAACTTACTGCTTAAAATTGGTACTTAATCTAGTAAAAACCAAAATCAACCAATCCCACAAACACGCATGGTAGGTAATAGAATATCTTCTCCTTTTTCACCGTTACATATTCCATCATGTATTAAAAACTTATACCCACTATATAGAGATATAGATATTATTGCATTTGATACAGCATAACAATGAAAGAAGTTAGAATGTGAGCACATTAAGGAAGCTTAGAATCAAATAGGCTATCCACATAATTCTACTATTCAATGAAAGAATGAATAAACAGGATTAGTGAATAAATAAAGGGTGTGCTCCTGTTTTAATCAGAGAAAGGGGGGTGATTTGGGAGAAAAATGAAACAGTAATACTCCAATAAATTATTATGGTAAAAGTCTCTGTTTTACACAAGAGAAGAAAAAAATGAAATCTTTAGCGTACATCAGGGTTGCTATTCCTAAGAAACCAGATCGGATGCAAAAAGAATATGAACTTGATCTTTTAGAAACAGAAAAATCAGATTTGATTCATGATCGAATCCTGATAAACACTGGAATTCGTTTGGAAAAATATGACCAAATAAGAAATCATAGCTTCTCATCTAATTTCACTATGCATAGAACAGAGAAAGTAAAACTAAAAGATGGATTCATGATCAGATACAGAAGCAAAGACCGGACTTGAAAGACAGCAATAGACCGATTCACACAATTAAAAACACCAAATCGGTAAACGAGTCAACTATATCCACTGACAAACCGAGTAAACGCCACAAATATCAAAGAGAAAACATATGAAATTTAGAAAATGCGAATTGGAAACTGCGACCGGCTTTCGACCCCAGCAATAGTCAACAGAACGATTCAAACAATCAAATCAACAAACCGATTCAACGTCATCCTCATACAAAACTGACAAACTACAGGAAATCATAATAAACCTTTTAATACTTCGAAAATGCGAATCGCAACAAATACCAAACCTTCAACCACAACGACAGATCGACTCAACCAATTAACAAACGACTATGCATCACGAAATAAAAATCAAAACAAATCATATAAATATTCGAAAATGTGAATCGGAAACAAACACCATGCCTTCAAACCGCACCAACAGAACGACTCAAACAAACGGAGTAAACCCCGATCAAGCATCATAAAACCATTATCAAGAAAATCTCAAAATGTGAATCGGAAACAAAAACTAACCTTCAACGACAGCAACGGAAGGAGAAACCATCGTCGAATCTTCACACATCGACACGAATCCACCTCCAACTGCTTCACCACCGATGATTTATGTTAAAATAACAAATATAAAACACAATGTGCAGCGATGCAACCCGGAGAGAGAAATTGATACCAATATGTTTCTGTATTTTGAACCCTAACAGCGCAAAATTGGAAATATTATATTAGTAAGGAACAAGGTTGCAGTAGGAGAAAAGATCAACGGTTGAGATCGAATTGATCGTTGAAAATATCTTCGATGAGCTCAACGCGTGAAGTACCAGATAATCCCTCCGAGGTCCTCAATTCGATCCTATTACGCATTTTATTTGATGGACCGCCCATTATCATCTCAAAAAAAAAAAAAATCAAATCAAAAAAAAAAAAAAATAGTTACTTAAAAAGTTTAATCTTCATGGTTTAAAAACCTTATAAATGGTCCCTGTATTTTCAAAACATTTGATGTTTGGTCCTTTTTGCTAATTAGGGTTAAGTTTGTCCGTTAACTGAAAGGTATTTTTATCATTTCACAAACATAGGGATCATTTATGATGTTTTCTCGTATTTTAAAAAAAAAAAATTAAACATAATTAAATATATAAAAGGTCTTTCTCTCTCTCTCTCTCTCTCTCTCTCTCTCTCTCTCTCTCTCTCTCTCTCTCTCTCTCTCTCTCTCTCTCTCTCTCTCTCTCTCTCTGACCTCAAAGGAGATCTTTATAACTCTCCATCCCTATGTTGCCTTCTAATCACCAACACCAAATCGAAAAACCCATCATTCATCTAATATGTTCTGAAGCGCAGAAACACCATATACTCCACCTCTCCTTCCTTTGTTCTTATTCTGAAACATGCAACTCAAACCGCCATCACCATTTGCTTTGTGTGTCTTTGTGTGTTTTCATTTCTAAAATCATTTTGGGTGTGTTTTCCTTTACTGAAATCGACAAAATAAAACTGTGAAGCAAAGATCAACCTTTCATTCACCATTATTAGACCCCATTCCATTGTCTTTCCTTCAATTTCTCAACAATCATCACATGATGGCACCGACGGTCTAAGAGTTAACAGATCAATGTGCACTCCGACCACCGTCAATTTGCACTCCGACCACAATATATCTATTACGAATTTGGGGAGGGTTCACCATCACATCCCTCACCAGATCTTCATCGTTTTAATCATACATCACCACTCATCTACCTCCATTCCTACCATTGTTTTTCTTCAAGTTGCTGGGATACATACGAAACAACCACCATTGTTCTCTGGTAGTGATGAAGAACACTACCAGAACATCCCTTGTTCAGCATCACTTTCAAACCACCAGGTTAACTTTCTGTACACAAAACGCAAATAACAAGCACCCTTGACATATAAGCCACCACTAACACCACCATCATCGTTTTCAATATGCAATTCAATATTCAATTCAATAATTTGTATAGATAAGAAGAAAGGCACACACACGAAAGGAAGATAACCGAGAGAGAGAGAGAGAGAGAGAGAGAGAGAGAGATTACTTTCCATTATCCTCAAATCTGATTTAGGGTTGCTAACGAGAAGGGATTGCGGTGGATCTGTCGATTTAATGTCTTTGGAGGTGGTTCGTGTGTCATGCCTGACTAGTAGAGAGAGGCAATGTAGACGATAAGGTAGGCGACAATCGGATTGGCAAGATCTTCGTATGAGTTACAATCTTGGAGCATTATTTAAGGAACAAACAGATAGTTTAGGGTCGAGTACATTCCATCAGTACTCAAGCAAGTGGGCAATGCAGAGGGGATGAAGGAGGATGGATATAAGAAATTCAAGTCGACATTGAAGGGGGTGGAAAAAGGAGGGAGGTGGTGAAGATGAAAGTGAATTCTACCGTATTAAGAGAGAGAGAGAGAGAGAGAGAGAGAGAGAGACCTTTTATATATTTAATTATATTTAATTTTTTCTTTTTTTTTAAATACGAGAAAACATCGTAAATGGTCCCTGTGGTGGTGAAATGACGAAAATACACTTCAGTTAACGGACAAATTTAACGGAGTTAGCAAAAAGGACCCAACATCAAAAGTTTTGAAAACACAAGGACCATCTATGAGGTTTTTAAACCACGGGGACTAAACTTCAGATTTTTGGTAACCACAGGGACCATTTATGATGTTTTTTCCAAAAAAAAATGAAATTCTAGAAAAATTAATTATTTATTTACTTGATTTAAAGTAATTTTGTTTACGGTTATTAAATTTATAATTGATATGTCTATCAAGAATTTTTTTTGTTAGTTTTAAATAAATTTTTCGTTAACTAGTTGTTTTAAATAATACGGATGATTTCTATAGTTTCAATATCTTCCGTGATTTTTCTCTCAACAACAAAGTTCAACACTAGCACCACCATAGTTCACTTCCAGCCGCCACCATTCTTCACCTCCAACGAAAATCGAAAATCTCCACCATCTTTGAAAATCAATATCTTTTCGTTTCACCTTGAACCCATTTTCAAAACATCATTGAAACGAAAACTCCATACCCGCATTCTTTAATCAAAAACCAATACTATACATTATCTTTGAAGAGAAGCAACGTAATCATCCATCGAAAATCAATTCATCCAAATAATTCTTCACCTTTCTTCAAAACTCCACAAACTAAACTTTACTATGATTATTAGTGATGAAGACTATGATGATAGTGAGACTTTAAAGCATGAACTAGCTCATTTTTTTCCTATAAAAGACATGGGGTTATTGTGCTACTTTTTGGGGATTGAGGTTGCTCAATCTCAAAAGGGTTAGTTGTTATATTAAATAAAGTATATTTCTTATTCAATTTAAGTATACACAACTTTTTGACAATGGGACGGTTGATACTCCTCTTGAACATAAAGTACGGTACTCTCCAACTAACAGTATCCCTATATAAGATCCATGCTTATATAGTACTATTGTAAGAAGTTTGGTTTACCTTATAACCACTCCCCCGAATATAGCTCATGTATTTCATGTTGTTAGTAAGATCTTCACGGTATTTGTATTTTGACATACCTTCATGGCATTTAGTTCTGAAGCCTTATGTTTCATTCAACGTCTTTTCTTTAGTTGCTTGTCTATGGTAAGGAAAAATGACACTGTAGCACAACAAAGTTTTGGTTTTGTCACGGATTGGTCACCAATCTTTTATTTTATTTTATTTTATTTTATTTTTTTGCGCAATAGGCTACTAAAATGTTATTTTACCAGTTAAATAGGGAAAAAATCCAATGAATAGACCATTAAGCACTTAATCCGTGAAATCTTTGATCTAAAAATTCCAAAAGGACTTTAATGACCCTAATGATCCCTAAAAATACAAACTTTATGGACATGCATACCTCATGCATGTCATTTCTCAAATTTAGGTCAAAATATGACTTAGGATTCAAGTAAGGTTTACAAATCACCAACATTTCCTAGATCTATGAGATTTAATGATATTGGGACATAGAGAAACCATAAAGTTGCAAACTTTATCTCTTCAACCGACACAAATCACCTCAAAAGGGCCATACTATTACATAAAATCTAGATCTAAGGAGAAAGATATGAAAAGATGGAAACGTAAGGACTTACAAAGGGTCCAGAAGATGCACATAAGTGAAAGGGAGGGTTGTTTGTTGAATCAAGGCACAAACTCTTCTTTTTCCTTCAAAACCACCAGTAACTTGAAAAATGATTACCAAAGCTTTAAAAAGGGTTAGGGTTTGGACAAGGAATCATTTAAAGGTGATGGAGGTTGAGGGTTCAGGAAACCCTAGCCTTAACTTCCTTTAAATAGGGCTTAAATTCCGGAAATTAGGGTTTGGCCGAAAATGGTTACCACGGCGTGGAGCCCATTTAAAATGCGTGATCATGAGCTAAATCGCCACGTCGTGGCCAACCAAGTTTTCATACATAAATAAATTCATATCAAAGAATCGGATGTTACAACTCTCCCCACTTGAATCAAACTTCGTACTCGAAGTCCTCCACCAGAAACAACTCAGGGTAGTGCTCCCTCATCTCGACCTCCTCGGAACCCTTCTGATACTACCACTGCACCTTCACTAGATCTACTTCCTTATTGTGCAGGGTCTTTGTCTTTCTATCAAGAATAATGATAGGCCTCTCTATAAAATTCAAATGTTCATCAACCTAAATATCATTCAGTGGAACCACTGCAGACTCATCCGCCAAACATTTCCGCACTTGAGAGACATGAAAGGTGTTGTGAATCTAACTAAGAATTTCAGGCAAATCCAACTGATATGCCACATTTCCCACCCAAGTAGTAATCATGAATGGACCAATATACCTAGTGTCTAACTTGCTCTGCTTCCTAAACTAGATGACACCTTTCCGAGGTGATACCTTTAGTAGCACAAGATATCCGACCAGAAACTAGGGATGTCAACGGGACCAAACGGGAGCGGAAATAGTTGCCCCCGCTCCTGCCCCCAAAATCAGTTGTTGCCCTCGCTCCCAGTCCCTCCCCCAAATCCCCCATTTACACAGCCCCCGGTCCCGCCCCCGCTCCCGCTCCCGTCCCCCCAGTTCCCCCGGTTTATAGGCTTAAAATTCGAATTATTTTGCTAAAAATCCGTTTTGTTTTAGGCTAAAAAAAACTATTTTTAACAACTTTAAAAGCTTAAAACCTAATCTTTTAGAAACTAAAATTTAAAAATCCAACATTATGAATCCAACATTACAATACGACAATTCCAACAATCTTACAAATATAAAATACGATAAATCCAACATTACAAATATAAAATACTTACATGTGCAAAAATATATGATCAATTCGCTACATCTTCAACATCCATTAATTGGAAACGGGAAAGTGAAACCTAAAATTAGAAAATCTATTTTGTATATGTATTTTATATTAAATATATATTTTTTACATAAATGTACAACCGGGGCTCCCGCTGGAGTACAGGACGGAAATACCGAATCCCGACCCCTGTCCCGAAAGTAAATGGGATTTAATTTTGCCCCCGCCCCCGTTCCCGCTCCTAGTTTTTTTAAAAATTTAGTCTCATACGGTATCGGGGTCCCGCAGGAGCGGGGTCCCACGGGGGTTTTTGACATCCCTACCTGAAACTCAAGATCTGAACGCGAACAGTCAGTATAGCTCTTATGGCGACTTTGCATGGTCCGCAACCTATCTCGCACCTATTGTATCAACTCGGTAGTCTTGAATACTATCTCAATACTCCCCATAACCCGATGTACAACCTCACCCCAACAAACGAGGGTCTGACACTTCTTCCCGTACAACATCTCGAAAGGTGGTCGGTCAATAATAGTATGATATATGTTGTTATAAGAGAACTCA